GAAAACAACATTATACCATAGAGGTAACTCTAAGACCAGAAGGTCCCGAAGAAACGAGCTCAACTTTTTGGCTCAGCTCTGGTACTATTTTCGGTCCCAAGCTAATCGATTCACCCCTCGAAACATAGGAAAATCCACTAACCTCTCATTTTATCTGTCAAACTTTCATAGTGAATCAAAACAAACATAATGTAGTACTAGAATTTCTACTAGAATGGGGTACGTTAATCGTTTGCTTGGGACCAATAGGTAAGTCAAGTAGTGAGCCAATTTAAAATCTTTAGTTTCGTATTGATTGTTGATTATACCGCCTGAATGGAGACAGGTCAAAGTAAAGGGTGATACGGTCAAAATTTGGTCAAGGGAAAACGCGTGTAAATCGGTGAAATCGTTTATTTAAAAAATCAAATTAAATTTCTTTTTCAAGTTCAATTAGTATAAAATTCAGGAAAAATATTCAGTTAGGCTTCCGCTTTTCCAAATCCGAATTGCCGGGCTTTACGCTTGACCCCTGCCATCAGATTTTGTACAGCCACCTTGTCCACCTTCTTCGCCGCAGAAAGCCAGTTTGCCTTGAACTGCTGCTCGCCCTTAGCAGTTTTTTTGGTCTTCTTTAGGTTCCGCTTGACAATAGCCCAGTATTTCTCAATTGGGCGGAGCTCTGGCGTGTTGGGAGGGTTCTTGTCCTTGGGAACCACCTGCACGTTGTTGGCGGCGTACCACTCCATGGCCTTTTTACCGTAATGGCAAGATGCCAAATCCGGCCAAAACAGTACGGAACAACCGTGTTTCTTCAGGAAAGGCAGCAGACGTTTATTCAAACACTCTTTCACGTAAATTTCTTGGTTGACAGTCCCGGAAGCTATGAAAATGCTGCTTTTCAAGCCACAGGTACAGATGGCTTGCCAAACCAGATATTTCTTTGCGAACTTTGACAGTTTCATGTGCTTGAAAACATCTGCTACCTTTCCCCTTCCTTTTGCCGTATAAAACTCCTGTCCCAGAAGCTGCTTGTAGTCGGCTTTGACGTAGGTTTCGTCGTCCATTACCACGCAGTAAAACTTCGTCAGCATCGTCGTGTACAGCCTCCGGGATCGCGCTTTGGCCGTCGTATTTTGTTTATCATCGCGATTTGGAGTCACTACCTTCTTGTAAGTCGATAGCCAGGCTCGTTTTTTGGCTCGATGCACGGTTGTAGACGATACACCCAGCTTATTTGCGGCATCTCGGAGAGAGAGGTTAGGGTTTCGCTTGAAACTACCGGCAACTCTCTTTGTCGTCTCAGCGGCTTCCGGTTTTCGATTTCCCCCCGATCCAGACTTCCTGGCTGTCGACAAACGTTCCCCAAACACTTTAATTACATTTGTAACGGTTGATTTGGCAACTTTTAGCGATTTTGCCAACTTTGCGTGCGAGTAGCTCGGATTTTCGCGATGCGCGAGCAAAATTTTGATACGCTGCTCTTCTTGCTTGGACGGCATTTTGACAACTGAAGAGTGAATTCCAAAATCAAAATAGGAGCAACATTCTACACACACACACCTTCAAAATGAGGGGTGTTCAGGTTTTTTAAATGCAAAATTGAAAGAAATACGTCAAGTTGATATTGACCAAATTTTGACCGTATCACCCTTTAATAGCCATTCGAAAACCTGGCAAACCAGCGTCTGACCATAATTCATACCGTTCGATTGCGATGCTTTCGTGCATTAGGAAATTGTTGGAGAAAATGATCCTTCGGAGACTCGATCAGTGGGTCGAAACAAATAACTTGCTATCAAATACACAGTTTGGGTTCCGCAAGAGCAAAGGAACAAACGATTGTCTAGCGCTACTTTCCACAGATATTCAACTGACCTTTGCGCACAAGGAGCAATTGGCTTCAGTATTCTTGGACATTAAGGGGGCTTTTGATTCAGTTTCCATTGAAATTCTGTCAGACAATCTGCACAGATGTGGACTTTCTGGAATTTTAAATAATTTCTTGTACAATTTGTTGTCAGAAAAGCAAATGAACTTTTCCCTTGGACAACTGACAACTTCCAGAATTAGCTACATGGGCCTGCCCTTAGATAACTTGTCTTCTTGGGCTAGGAATCTAGGGATCGAATTCTCGCCGCAGAAAACTGAACTGGTAGTGTTTACTCAAAAGCGGTACCCAGCCGAAATGCATCTTAATCTTTTGGGCAGAAACATTACTCAATCATTGTCTTTCAAGTACCTTGGGGTCTGGTTTGATTCAAAGTGCACTTGGAATACCCATATTACGTATTTGAAGCAAAAATGTCAGCAGAGGATCAACTTTCTCCGTTCAATTTGCAGCACATGGTGGGGTTCTCATCCGGGAGACCTCATAACGCTTTATAAAACAACAATTCTCTCTGTTCTAGAGTACGGCTCTTTCTGCTTTCTCTCGGCAAGAAAATGTCACCTAATAAAATTGGAACGAATTCAATATCGTTGTCTGCGTATTGCTCTCGGCTGTATGCACTCAACGCATAACATGAGTCTCGAGGTTCTGGCAGGAGTAACACCCCTCCAGAACCGTTTCTGGGAGCTCTCTCTCAGAATACTAATCAAATGCGGAGTGACGAACACACTTATAATTGAAAATTTTGAAGAAATTCTTGGGCTGAACACACAATCTCGATTTATGAGAATCTACCACCACTACATATCATCAGATATGTGTCTTCCTTGTTATACTCCAGACCGTGTTCACTTCACCAATCGCAGTTCCTCAATTGAATATGATCTGACCATGAAGCAAGCAACTCATGGGATTCCCGATCAACTTCGAACTATTATTATCCCACGTATTTTTACTAAAAAGTACCAACACGTCAATTGCGTGAACAGATATTTTACAGACGGGTCTCGTCTCAGTGGATCCACTGGCTTCGGTGTCTTCAATGAAAACTCTAGCGCCTTCCGCAAACTTCAGGAACCTTGTTCCGTTTATGTTGCTGAGCTGGCAGCAATCAACTTCGCATTGGGGATGATTTCCAACATGCCCGCAGATCATTACTTCATCTTCTCGGATAGTCTCAGTTCGATTAAGGCTATTCGGTCGATGAGACCAAGTAGGCACTCATCTTATTTCCTTTCAAAGGTAAGGGAGCAGATGAGTGTACTGGTCGAAAGATCATATACGATTACCTTTGTATGGGTCCCCTCACATTGCTCAATCCCAGGCAATGAGAAGGCGGACTCTCTCGCAAAGGTGGGCGCGCAGGAAGGCGAATTTTATGACAGGCAAATTTCACACGATGAATTTTACCATTTAGTGCGTCAGAGTACCCTTTCGAGTTGGCAAACCGATTGGGACACTGGAAATCTTGGACGGTGGTTACATTCAATTATTCCTAATGTTTCTTCGAGAGCGTGGTTTAAAGGCTTGGGCTTAAATCGTGACTTTATTCGCGTGATGAGTAGACTTATGTCCAACCACTACTCGCTAGATGCTCATCTCAATAGAATTAACCTCGTGGACAGCAACATCTGTCGGTGTGGAAACGGTTACGATGACATCGAACACGCAGTTTGGCAATGTACGGATAATGACGCCGCCAGAGAGCGACTTTTGAATGCCCTCGAGGCCCAAGGAAGACAACCCTATATCCCTATCAGAGACGTGTTGGGTACCCGCGATCTCTGCTATATGCAGTCGATTTATGTGTTTCTGCAAATGTCTGGTATAAGAATTTAATTAGTTTGTCTTTTGTATCTCTTTATTAGTTTTTGTTTGTCTTGTCCCCCGTCTCGATGAGCCTCATCGTCGCCCACTGGTCACCATAGCCGGTCGAACTCCAGACGAATCTAGAACCACACTACCGTTCATACTGGCGACAACGCTCTGATGAGGCAACGATACCCTACTCCCAAGCTCCTCCCCTTTTCCTATCCTTCGACAATGTACCCCTCTAACCTCGAGTAAGCCGCGAGTATCCGGCCCAACTCCTACTAGACATAGAATTAAGTGAATTTTGTTACAAACAAAGAACAATGAATTATCGGCTCCGAACTAGATAAAAAAATATTCAAATATCAACTAACCACTTCATTCGAGCAGTTAAAATGACGTTTACTACCACTCGAACTTTGAAATAAAACATTATTTTGAGATTGTTTCTTCTAGAACCACTAGAAAAGTAGGCATCATTTGTGCGTTTCATAAAAAAATAGAAATTAATTGGTTCAGTTTTGTGGAATCGCTGGTAGAAAGTCACGCCAAAACTGCTTGACAAACTGGTCAATTATGTTCCAGATGATCGTCGTAATATTGATTCAAAATATGCATCAACAGCTCACCCCGGGTCCTGGTACATCAATGCCACAGCAGCAACAACCGGAAACCATCATGCATGATGTGCCGAGTGACATCTTATAGCAATCGAAAGATTGTATCGAAGATTCTTATGAAAGGGCTTTTTTCAAACCGTCGGTGTCAGTTTCATCATCAAAACCAGTGAAAAATTATCACCCACGTGTCCCTGATCTTGGCCACCAGTGAAAAGAATTTAGAAAATATTGCAATGATTTGGAGCAAGTCAAAATCAACGTGGATCAGAAAGCAGAAGAAAAAAGCTGACCGTGAAATGAAAAAGCAAATGCAACAGAAGGACAAGAAGCAGACCTCAAAAAGAAAGTAAAATTATCAATATAATATTATGGTGTAGTGTGTAACAATATATTCCAACTATTTAATACTATTTTTTAGCTGCGCACAATTAGGAACACATGCAATAAAGTGCGCATAATTAGGCACTCCATATCTGTGTACAAAATGATCGCTTTTGACACGATGTTCGGTTTACCTACAATAGTTATATATTTTTTCGATTGTTATAGATATTATCAATACATTTTACTTAATAATTAATTTAAATGTCATTAAAATGTTTGAATCTTAAAAATGTCATAACTATGCACAATATGGTACCTTCACGGTAATATGACTAGCCTAGAATAACACATTTCAGTTTCTGTTTCATACTTACATTTAACACAGCTATTTCAACCAGATCAGAAATCTCCCAAACAGAATTACCAACGTCTTCCTGGTGTTTGACCCGCCTGTAAAAAAACCCAAAGCAGAAGCATTGCAATGAACTATAGTTAATATTTTTTTTTCTAAAAAATCAACACATACTGTGACAATTTGGCTAGCAAGTTCGTCAGCAGCCCCGCGAACTGCTCCACCGCCTTGTTCATCAGCGTATCCAGCATGGCGAAAGTCTCCACCCGTCGCTTGCATTCGTGACCGACACTGCACGCAACCTTGGCCAAACTGGCATCGTTTTCGACCGACACCCCACTCGGGAACGAAGGGAACTTCGGTAGATCCAGCTCGCTGGGAAGCGTTACGTTGTTATTTTCGATGTTGAAAAGCATGACGGGACTTTCCGTTTCCGTGGTAGGATATCCGCGGGCTGCGAAATCAAAAGAAACTTTTGTAACGTTCATCACGTCAATAATAGGTTCGACTTACCGCTACTGTTGGCTCCAACCTTCAGCTCAAACAGCTCCGACTCTAGCAGCAGTAGCTGCGCGTTATGCGGCACTTTTGTCTGTATAAGGAGGTGCTCCTTCAAATTGTAGAAGGTCTCCTCCGGATCCATGTACACTTCGATGGAGGTCGCTTGATTGGTGTAGAAAATGTGCAGCACTTTCTTGTTCAGGATATGTTGTACCTCGTAGAAGAACCGATCGAAGGACCACATACGCTTTTGATTTTCCTCCAGAAGACCTGCCAGCAGTGACGTGACGAGAAATTTCAGCCCTGCCCGCAACTGACAGTGTGGTGGCAGATGTCGAGCCCATTCGATGGGACCATTTTCGCTGGTCTGCGTACCGGCAATCACTCCCGGAGCTTTCTTGGTAGTGATGTGGTGCATCGTTTCCTTATTCTTGCGTCCGCCGTACGGACGGAATGGAAGGTTTCCCGTTGCCACATGGTACAGTGTTACTCCGATGGACCAGAGATCTACGTTCGCTGTGAAGCTCCGATTGATAGATTTTCTCAAGACGGCTCGCTCGTACATATCCGGATGGAGATATTCCTCCGTTCCGTACAGGGAAACGAACTGCTGATTTTCCTCCAACTCTCGTGCTGCTCCGAAATCCGTCAGCTTGTAAATCGTCTGCCCGTCCTCGGAAATGTACTTCATGATATTTCCTGGCTTCAAATCCCTGTGAACCAAATTATTGTCCCTCAAATGTTTCATTCCAGCGGACAGATGTTCCAACACCAGTAGGAACTCCCTCTGTGGAAGCCCGTATGTATTTTCCGGATCATCCAAGATGTTAAACAAACTCCCTCCGGTACACAATTCCATCACAATCACCTTTCCGCGACCTTCCTGGTCATCTTCGATGTCCAACAGTTTGACGATATTGTTATGCTTCACCTTCCGGAGCACCTCGAACTCCCTCATCTGGACATCGTGCGGCCGCATATGACTAAGCTGGTTGAACGTCTTGACGGCCACTGGTTCGCCATTGTGCTTGTTGACACCTTGGAACACTGCTCCGGTAGCACCCTTACCCAAGACACTGGTCGTACACCACACGTAATTGGTTGATCCCCGCAAGAACGAATTCATTTTCGGAACCTAACGAGATGTGACCACAACAAAAATTCACTTTCAAGAAAGATCCGGAACAAGCAGTCCGAGAAAAAAAAAACAACTTGAACACTTTACTATACTTCTTTTGTTAACACTTTTCCGACATCACAGCCCCCACAATACTCGGAAGGAATGCAATCATCTGCTTTTCAAAAACTTTTGCAATCTACGACTTCAAACATTGGAGAGTAATTGAAATTTGTAATTACAATATTGCCTTATCGTTTCTCGACATTGAACTGATGCAATCTTTTATTAAAAAAAAAAAAAAATGGAGAAAATACCTTGATGTAAACACGACTACGACTGATTTCGGAAAACAGATTAACCTTTCAAAAGCTTACAACTGCACTTGACGTTTGAGTGTTGCGCGCGGTGATGTTCTGTTTTGTTGCATGTGTCTACAGTGGAGTCGCCTTGCACCGGAAGTATGACATGGTATGACTGCGCAGTACTAGAAGAAGAAAATCGTTCATTCTCTTCGCCTTTTAGGGATGGTGACCTGAAAATGCAGATTATCAATTTCTCGATTTATTCCCGGAGTTTTGGACCACCAGCAGGGAGTTTTGGCATGATTTTATACCAGCAATTTCACAAAACTTCTTTTCCTTTATTTAATGTCGGTCTCTGTTCCGCAATCTAGTGCCAATCACCGACGGACATCGATTGCCATCCATTGACGGCAATCGAATGTGCGGAAGGCAGCTTCCACACCTGCGTAGGATATCGCACCCATTCAACACACATGGGCCGGGACCAACGGCTTTACTTCCCTTCCGAAGGAAAACGTGACCAGAGATTTTTATGCCTCAGAAAAATCCCACAGACCTCGGCTGGGATTGAACCCAGACCCATCGGGGTGTTAAAAGCAGTCACGCTTACCACAACACCACCGGCGCCGGCAATTTCACAAAACTGGACCACTAAATTACATACTTGGATGTTTTTTTAAGTTTGCGTACTGTAAATACCAAAAATTCAGCAAACTACTGAATACGGTAATATTTACCTCTATGGTAATATCATAGAGGTAACCCAAAGACTAGAAGGTTCCGAAGAAACGTGCTCAACTTTTTGGCTCAGCTCTGGAACTATCTTCGGTCGTAAGCTAATCGATTCACCCCTCGAAACATAGGAAAATCCACGAACACCTAATTTTATCTGTAAAACTTTCATAGCGAATCAAAACAAACATAGTGTAGTACTAGAATTTTGACTAGAATGAGATCCAAGTAAAAAAATGGTTTGAGAAAAGAGCCGCCAACAGCGGAAAAATTAATTATAATTTGGGCTGAGAATTTTCGAAAATAAAGCTGAAATGTTGCTTAATAACATACTGAACATCCTAAGTGATTGCATTTATTCTAACGTTATAAAAAAAATTACAAGAAATACAATTTTTTTTCAGAAATCTCAACAGGTGTCCCCCCTTAAACTACTCATAAATGCATACTTTGAATAGGACATCAAGCAAAGATGTGACTGTTATCAGTTGAGGCACGTGGCTGCGAAATGGAAAGTGATATAAGGTTCCAAATAGTAAACAGTTCGTAATTTCATAAATTTACTAGGCCCAACTCAGCAAAACCTACCTAGGTACTAATCAACGTCATATCCGTACATCGGTCCCTCCAAGTACGCTTTGTACATATCCTTAGAATTCCTCCGTATCCGCCGACCGACTGGCTCCAAATCGTTGTAACATTTCGGAAATACTCGTTCTACGGCCTCAATTGCTTCTTCGGTTGTGACCTTCCTCACAGCTAGCACCGAGTTCAGCGCTTTAGTTTTTACACAATCCTGCGAATGAAATGCATCAATGATAAACATTGAACTTTTGAAACATTCTCGTGATTCGCAACAAACTTACCTTATGTGCCTCTTTGATCTTGAACGGTGAGGCATCGCCTTGGGTCCACGCACTCATGAACGAACAGTGCGTCAAATTGGCGGCACGGATTTCCGTACAGGCCAGATGGTCAATGTTCTTAAAGTCCAAGTCGTTCCTACAGTAGTCGAACATGTGAATCATTTCGTGCGTCAGCACTCCCTGAACGATGCCTTCGTTGCGGGCAATGTTTTGGCAAACGACCACCTGATTCAGCACCGGATCGTAGCCACCGCTAACGGACACGTCACACACCTCGCAGGCAATGTGCCGCCGAATATCGATGGCGCTGGAATGTACGCTCCCAGATTAAGTGACCCTTCATGAAACCATAGTTGCAACTTGCACACTCACCATCCAGAGCTCTTGAGCGCGCCCATCATCAGCTTCACCATGGGGCTGTTCTTGATGCAGGAGTACACATTCCGTTCGCATTTGATTTTGTCCAGATTTTCGGTACCCTCGATACCCAGCAACACTCGTCCCCAGCTTGGTTTGTACTTTTCACCCCGGCGTTCGGGGTACAAATCGTAGCCCCACTGTTTTCCATCGCCATCGCCTTGACGATCGATGACCGCATTCGGAATTGGTGGAGTATTTTTCTGCTTGGGGTTGTCACTGGTTTCCTTCTCGGTCATTGTTGGAATCGCGGAACTTTTGAGTGAAAAAATACTAAAATTTAAAGTTTTCTCATCAGCGGGTGATCTCTCTGCTGATGTAATATCAAAACAAAAAATCCGCACGGCAGTCGTACATCGATAAAGAAGCGCCAGTTGACAGTGCACTTGTTAGAGATGTGAGTCGCTAATTGCGAGGTGGGTAAACAAAATATGAACGGAAGGTCTTTGGGAGGTAAATATTGACGTTTATTGTTATTCCTAAAATCGGGTTAAATAAATTATTCGATGCATGCTAGCCCGATAAAAAAATAACCATAGAGGTACAAAGATATGTATTGCAGCCATACAATAGAATTTATTGTATTTACAATAAATCGTATTGTCCAAAACAATCCAAAACTATAAAATAACCACAGCGGCGCCGGTGGTGTAGTGGTAAGCGTGATTACCTCTCACCCCAGCAGGCCTGGGTTCAATTCCAGTCGGCGCCGCCGGGATGTTCTGAGGCATAGCATCTCTGATCACGCCTTCCTTCGGAAGGGAAGTAAAGCCGTTGGTCCCCGGTTCATGAGTTGATGGGTCGATAGGTAGGGTCCAGGTGTGGGAGCTGCCTCCCTGGCGTCGGTAGCATTGGTGCTCAGCACGGAAAACAAGATCGACGGAAAACAAATCAAAGAAAAAAAAAAATATATAAAATAACCATAGAATGTATTGTTTCCAAAATGAAATCTATGGTAAATGGGGAAATCTGCACACTTAATGTTTTCTACCGAGCTTGGCTGTGCAAATCTTGGCAAAAAAAAGTTTCACTGAGATCTCAGCAATAGTGACATTTGATTGCTAAGTCTCGGATAATGCTTAGCTGAATCTCAGCAAACAAATGAAATGTTTGCTGAGATCTTATAGTAAAACCTGGGGGAACGACACTTCAGGTATAATCCCATTTTTACCAAAACCTCTCATAAAATTTTCAACGTGCACAAAATTTCAATCCATCCTATTCAAGGGGGGAGGTGGCTGTCAAATACGAACAATCGTCGCCTACCTCGCATAACTGGTTCCAAACGTAAACAAGCCATAAGAAACCTACAGCGTTTGTTTACGTTTGGAACCAGTTTCATACAAGAATGATCAGTAGGCTGATTTGACAGCACGTCCCCCCCCCCAGATCTTATTTATTCTTTCTATTCCAACTTATCCCTTCTGCATGCACACAAATTGTCAAGCAAGCCGTGCAATTTCTCGAAGTTTTCAGGTCGACCGCGAAGCACTCTGCACTGTCAACAATCTCCACAACAAACACCATGTATGTCAGCTGGCTATACCGCTTAAAAACCGGTGCGAAAACTAAAAAAAGGTGATGGACCACTCGTCTAAAATCGGTCGCGGGACAACATCAAGTGCATCACGGAGAAGACGGCAACGTACATCCATTTCCCGGACTCAAACCGATCGAAGTCCACGGATAGGAGCCCAGATGTCTGTGTGATGTAGCATGGAAGTTACGACAAGCAGGTGAAAAAGGACTTCAGATCATTTTTTCCACTCGGGCCAAGTTTTACTCGTTGATGCTGCTGGTCAAGGATTCGGAGAAAAAAGAGCTAATGGTGAAGGAATACACCCACTGGCTGATGGAGTTTCTGTACGAGAATATTGTGAATCAAGTTCCCGTCCAAATACAGCTGGGAATATTAACCGGAACCTAGTGATCCATCGCCACCACCCGTTCCTCCTACGGTGCAGTTTCAACCTATTTGGTACGGAACCGTTTTCTGCACTTGAGCTGTGATCTTTGTTTAACATTGTTGGGCGGTGTACATTAATTACGTTACGCTAAAAATCAATATGTTCGACCTCCCCCCCCCCTTCGAACAAAACGTTACACTGAAAATGATTCCCCTCTATTTAGTACGTAACGCTCTAAAATCCGTCTCATTTAATTAATTTTTGATTCCGGTATGTATTATTAATATTCAAAATAAAAACAAAAGATCAACGTACCATCGAGCACCTGATTTTCAAAAGTTTAAGCATAGCAAAAATCTCAAGATATAACATTAAAACATATCGATTTTGCAGGCAAGATTTAGTGATGACATTTTTTGACCTGTATTTTCAAACTTTACATCAATAAACAAAAAAAAATGTTCTCGTTGTTACGTAACGGAAAGCTTTAAGGCCTACGCACATTAGATCCGGATCGGACGCGTTGCGGCAAAGTGACAGCTAAATCTATTGTCTAACTGTCAAATTTACGTCAACGCAACGCAAACGGATCTAATGTGGGTGGCCCTTTACTCCTCATCCCCTATGTAATAATTCGTTACGATATAGGTGACTTACGTCCCCCTATAAGCGTCACGTAATTTATGGACGCTGCATTGCAGCAGATTAGTCTTCTTTTTACACCTATCCTCTTCGTGTTCGGACTTGTATTCCTCTGAAACTTTTTAACACCCCTTAAGCAAACCCCACACGTAACAATATATTGACGCGAAGGGGAATTATTGACATTATAATTGATGATGTGAATACAGAAATATTGTCAATACCGATGTATTGACGTCAATATTGAATGTATTGACAATACGATTATTGTCAATAAAAGCAATCGTGTAGGGTCCACATTACATCACATCCATTCCCTGATCTATCCCATCTATTTTTTCCATCCGTGCTCTATTTTCGTCAACACGACACACTCAAAAAAATCCCAACAATTATTTTTTCCCCTGAAAATCCCAAGTAATTACTAGACTGAAAAAATATATCCAAGTGAGTGTCGTTCCCCCTGAGTAAAACCAAAGAAGAATACTAAGATGAAACAGTCGGAAGCAAAACTTTCAATTTTAGTGTCCTCTTTCATGGTCCCTTCCATCCAATGAATACCCCCCGGATGCACAGTAATTGTGTGGTTTTGCTACCCCCTCTGTAGAGATGAAATTTGCGCTCTTTTTTTTTTATCAAAACAATCACACCAAAATCAGAGATGTCCCATTTTTTAATTACTCGATTAACAGCTAATCGATTATTTTTTGTTCGCTGTGCTGTCATTTTTCCATCAATGAGAGTGCTGCATATATTTAAAACGATGGATGAAGATCCTCTGGAGAAGTTAATGCTTATATCGGCATGATATAACCGATTACAAATATTTTACTTTTCGGTTCGTTAATCGATTATTCGATTATTCGAATGAAAAATGGCCATCACTAGATGAATGTGAAATTCATGTGTAACCACCAGTGGTTGAAACGGTTGACGGTTTTTACTACACTCGCTTCGTTGTCGTTCGCGACAGTCTGTTTGTATTCGTACACTCATGCTCTACCGTCGTCTCTCTCACACAACACAAACGGTAGAATAACATTCGAGCAATAAGAAAGTTATCAAATAACTATCATATGACATGTGTGATTTCGCTAGGGGCACGCAATAACCTTTAACTCCAACGCAGGCAACGGCTGTAATTAAATAATTTCCATTAACTACTGCTTTAATTACATTAATTATACAATGTAGAAGATTAACTACTTTTTAACTCCATTAATTAAAGTTGAAATTTCGTACATTAATTACATTTTCAATACTTTAAGTTACATATATTACGGATAGACAATTTTAATTACCGTCAGTACTACTTCAAAATGCATTAATTGCTTTAAGTACTTTTGATTGCATTTTAACTTCTTTGTATTTCGTGCCCCTCGAATTTACACCAAATTGAGGAATAAGATCGAAATCACGAGCTGCAGTTACTCATAGCTTGTGAGTAACTGCAGTTTATTCCAAATCTGAGTTAATTTCGTATGGAAGGAAAATTCTCTGAGTTAATTGGCAAATCAAAGTTGGCACTCGTGGAGAATAGAAGAACTATAAGAGTGATGATGGTTTCAAAATTTTACACGGGGAGGTAGACGAGTGCAATCTTAAAATGCTTTTATTTTTCAAATTGAGCATTTTATTTAAATCTGCTTGCTGCTACAGTTGTACAAAAGCTGAAATCTATGGATGCACATAAAAATCTGAAAAGAAATTATTTTTTCTATATTATATGTCTATTAAGCAGTCCTTAAGTTTTCTACTAGCGTAGCATTTACCAAATATCATTTGAAAAGGGCCTACAAACGAAATATTAGCGAACCGTAAAATGAATTGTAAATTATCTGTCTATTTTTATTCCTATATAAGAAAATCGAAGTTTTTTTTTAGCATTTGTGCAAAAAATGACAATGACATCGGTATCTCAGGACACAACACCCAAATAATACATGGTTGGCCGTTTTAGCAACAATCAATACGAAACTAACGATTTTAAATTGGCGCACCACTTTAGTAGCCTATTGGTCCCAAGCAAACGATTAACGTACCCTATTCTAGTCGAAATTCTAGTACTACGCAATGTTTGTTTTGATTCGCTATGAAAGTTTGACAGATAAAATGAGGGGTTATTGGTTTTTTCTATGTTTCGAGGGGTGAATCGTTTAGCTTGGGACCGAAGAGAGTACCAGAGCTGAGCCAAAAAGTTGAGCACGTTATTTCGGGACCTTCTAGTCTTAGAGTTACCTCTATGGTTTTAGCGTGCGCCCAACAAACAATTTTAGCTGCAGATCAGCTTATACAGACAAAAATTAGCTGCAAAAGACAATTTTCGGCTGTATAAGCTAGTTTGCAGCTAAAATTGTTAGTTGGGCGGGCCTTGGTGCGGCCAATGAATGATTCGAAAAAATTTCTTTGATCGGCCGATTATAAAATTGAGTTGTTTATAATGATTTTTACCGGTTATGTGGAACATTCCTACGCAGAGAGAAATCCCCTTATACCTTTTGGCAAATTTCGATTGCTTATTATTCATAAAATGTATAAGTCAACTAATAAGCAGACGCCTTGCAAAAAGTTAATGAAGATCATGTGTCAAATGAAATGTACCATTTGTACATACCATTTATGCATTTTTATAGGATCTCTGTGGTTTGTCTTATGGAAGGTATAAGCAACAATCAATATGAAACTAACGATTTTAAATTGGCTCACCACTTTAGTAGCCTATTGGTCCCAAGCAAAC